TGCTGTTAAACAGGTTGTGGTGAGACAGCTGTGTGGCAGCTCACTTGTACAAGTGTAAATTATGCAGGACTAAACTTTGTAGAGACTAATAAACTTTCTGTGCACTTGTAGAGAACTTCCTGTGAGCCAAATTGTGCGGGAAATACATTTTACAGGAAATCTGATGTGATTCTCATTTCCCATTGACTAAATGGACTAAGTTCACCAACCCTGACGTAGATTGGGTTTGCTATGGGTTTTTTCAGCGACGTCAACCTTTTCTTAACACTTGTGCTGTCTTGTGCTAATTTCCTTCTACCAAACGAAACGTGCAGCTGGCTAAAATAAGAGCTCAGCTGAGGTGTAAACCATTAATATTTACATCCTGTCATGGCGTCACAGCAAGAGAGTCTCACTGCAGTAGATGCACGCGATCTACTTTCTGATACAGCTGGCCAGTGACAGTACAATTAGAAAAAGACTGAACGATTATGGCTTGTTTGGAGACAAAGCCTCTTCTCTCTAATTAGAACACTGGAGCACAGATGATGTTTGGAAAGTTCCATCTGAACAAATCACCAGACCTCTGGAACAATGTCCTTTGCACTGACGAGATGCACAAAACCACGTTCAGAGGAAACCAAACACGTCGCAGTCACTGAGTTGACCATTATTAGTATACCGAAGTATTCTAGAGGCAAATATGATGCCGTCTGTCTGACAGATAAAGCTTAGACAAAGTTGAATCATGTAACAGGACAATGATCACAAGCACAGCAGCAAATCTACAGATCTGTGCATAAACGAATCGCTGCAAACCTCAGTGAACTGAAACAACGCTGCAAAAAAAGTCAGATGCAATTTCTCCCATAAAAATGTGAGAAACTCATAAAGTCACACAGGACATGAATAATTCAAGTTATTGCTGCTAAAGGAGGTTGAACAAGTTACTGAAACATGGGATGTGCTTAGTTTTTCATGGACTCCTTCTCACCTGAGCACTGCAGCCCCTGCCTGAAGAGGCCTTTGAGCAGCCGGTGGCAGTACTGGCAGACGGTGGGTTTGGTGTAGCTGTGGATGTGGAAGGTGTGAGGGACCTGAGCCCTGCTCCAGTCGCTGTACCCGACTCCCAGCCACACCGGAGCCTCGGCCCAGGATGGAGGCCTGGACGCGGGCTTGGACTTGCTGATCTGGAGAAAGGTGCAAAGTGAAAGACATCAACTTAGAGTAACTGAAAAAAATCTATTGTGTGAATATGTGATTCGATTAGACCAGTAAAGGTTACAGGTGTGTTGGAGAAACAAACAAATCCAGGGTTGCAAACACACTTATCTGCATTACAATTACAGCAGTTCCTCACCTCTTCTAGACTCCCGCCTGCCTGATTGGACAGCGAGTGTGTGCGAGGTCGCCGGGGTGGAAACAGGGAAAAGCTGGTGCTAACCTGACGCCGTGCTCGGTTACAGTTACTGGGCAACTGCAAAGCACAACGTTTATGAAAGTCTAATCCACAACCTGTAAAGAGATAAAAGTAAAAAAAACAAACAAAAAAAACCTTTAACAACACTCAAGTATCAGTGAAGAGACGGATACCACCACATGATGAAGTGTGAAAGCGCTATTACCGTCACATTTTAAACCCTGCCGAACGAGGCCCCACAGCATCTCTCCACAGTGGTGACAGAAAGTGGGGGTCCGGTACGACTGCACCGCCAAGGAGTGTGGACGCATCGTCACCTGCGTCACGGAGGCTGATCCTGAATCACAGAGAGGACTCGTTACACCAACGGACATCCACGCTCCATGCATTTACTGCTAAGACTCCGCTATAGTAGCTTTGCATGATTCACAGCTCAAAATAATCCTCATTTGTCTTATACTGGTCCTTGGTGCAGGCGCTCGACTCGTCTGAAACAAACAGTTTTAACTTCGTCCGCCCGCCCACTGCCCCCCGTGAAAATAGGTTTGGAACAGTAGGAGAGTTGGGCTCATTTAAAACTGACCATTTAAAACCACCTACTGGTGGTGGTCAGAGGGCCCGGTGGCGCCAGTGTTTGGCAGCCTCGCCTCTGTCAGTGCGCCCCAGGGTGGCTGTGGCTACAATGTAGCTGCCATCACCAGTGTGTGAATGTGTGGATGACTGAATGTGTAAAGCGCTTTGGGGTCCTTAGGGACTGAGTAAAGCGCTATACAAATACATTTACCATTCAAGAGCTTCTCTCCAAACCCCTGGACAGAAACAGCATTTTACATGCATGAATAAAATATATGTCACCCAAACAAATGAGGTACACGTAGTACCACCAAATCTCACCAAGTGTCCACCTGCCTCTGTAAACCTCAAACACTAACCTGAAACGATGACCTCAATGAGGTCGCCATCCTGCAGCTCGTCGGAGTCGGTCAGCCGCTGCAGCAACTGCTCGGAGGCAGGTTGATGTCTGAACAGCAGAATCTTCTCCCCGACACCCACCACACTGCAGTCTGGAGCCTAAACACACGAACAAACAAAAACCGCAGTCTCAGGTTGAGTCACTATTGAAGCAACAAGATCAATTTAAACCCCCAGAAGGGCTCTGGTAATGTGACGATTTGCCTTCTGAGTAAATGAAACAAGTTATTAAGAAATATGGGGGGGGGAAAGAGTCAATTTTTCCACAAATGGAGTAATTTAAACATTTGAAATCAGAACAAGTGTGGTTTGGGAAACTGGACACAGCAAAGAAAGCCACCTGCAGCCTGTCAGTCGTGATTTTCCATTTTCACGTCTGCACGGCGGTAAAGAACAAAACCACATTAAGATGAGCATGCAGACTGAAGACAGCTCTGAAGGGAAACCTGAGTGATGCACCACAGGTAGAGAGTGACTCCACCATGTTCAGCGTTATAGAAATAAATAATCTGTGTGCATCTGTCGCCAAAGTACGACTGAGGAAGAGAGATAGGAAGGCTGCGAAGTATCTCAAGCGTTGTTTTTCTATCTGAATCATCATTTAGGGATGATAAGAACAGCAGATTCAGAAGATGTGACACTGCAGGTCAATTCATTATTTAAACATGTTCAACTGCTCTATCTAATCAGCCAATCACGCTGCAGCTCAGTGAAGTTCAGCACGTGGCGGTCAAGACGACCGGGTGAAGTTAAAATTGAGCCACAGAATGAGGAAAAAACGTGATTTAAGTAACTTTAACGTGGCATGGCTGTTGGTTTCAGACAGGTTAGTCTGAGTATTTCAGAAACTGCTGATCAGCTGGGATTTTTCCACACAACCGTGTCTAACCAGTTCTCTGGGTGAACTGTTGAACTCAGAGGTCAGAGGAGAATGGCAAACTGTTTCATATTGACAAGAAGGCAATAATAACTCAAATAAACACTCGTTACAACCAACGTATGCAGAAGAGCGTCTCGGAAAGCACTACACATCAAACCTTGAATCAGATGGGCTACAGCAGAAGAACACCGCACAGGAAGCCACTCCTAGCTAAGAACAGGAAACCGACGTGACAGTTCGCACAGGCCTCACTAAAACTGGACAACAGAAGATCAGAAAAATGTTGTCTGGTCTGACGAGTCTTGATTGGAACATTTTGATGGTAGGGTTTGAATTCCTTGATGGTTCTGGCTGCTGCTGGTGGCGTGATGGTGTTGGGGATAGAACAGCTGAGCATCAAACTCCACAGCCTGCTTGAGCGTTGGTTACGACCATGTCCATTCCTAACAGCAGTACTCATTCAGGTGATGCAAAGCATTGCGTTATTAAGGCGAACATTTACACCAATAGAACAAACATAATGTGCCCATTACTTCCACCCTGCATCATCCATTTCCCTTATAGCAGCTCTAGTATTAAATCTGTCATGAAATCACTCAGTTCTCTCCAGGTGCAGCAAACACTTCTGCTGCCACACAGCTCAGCCTACCAGCCAAACAGCTGAGGAGCAGTTTGAGTCAGTCAGCATCACCAAACCAGCCAAATCCAAGTTAGGATTAAAAGCTGGATATTTTTTAAACCATGGACAGAAGAGAGTACTGCGCACACACACACACACACACAATATTATATCAAAGTGCATAAGTGGAATTGTGCTTTATGTGACCCTAAAGGTAAAACAAATACCTGCTAGGTTTCAGTGTTGGAGATGCGGGTGTTCACCCATCATTGATACACTGACTATAATGAATGCAAAACGTGCACAAGTGACACACACACACACGATGAGCTGACCTACTGCCTGGAAACTCAAGATCAAAACTGTAAAGGTGGGCTGCGTGCGTGTTTGTGCATGTCTCAGTCAGAGGGGAGAAGCTGTGGTTGGAAAGTTTTCTGCGCTCGTGTCGACCACAGTCCCTGTAACCGAGGAAGTGCAAAGACCAGCCCAGTGACAGTGAGATGAAGCCCCTGCAACACCTGCAATTCACAACTTTCCTTATTTAACCTCAACTACAGTTTTACCCCACCGTCTGTGCGCTGGCACTTGGGTATAGATTTTACTGTATAAACAAGTATAGAGTGCCCTTTAATTCTAAATACATCTCTGGTGGGTGGAGGAAATCTGTTAAATGGCGAGTTTATATCTTCTCTTTTTTAAAACTTGTCCTTTAGTTTTCCGGAACAAATTGTATTCACAAACACCCTCAAAAATCTGAAGGTGGTTGGGTGACACCCACTTCACAATACAAAATGTTGGTGAAATTACACCACCATACAGCATGCTGCATACACAACAGCACAAAACCACCAAACTCTGCAGACAAAAACCACACTCCATGCACAAACCTACATTACCTTCCTTCATAAATAAGTTGACCTTTCATAGTCCACTTCCTGACAGTTCTGAGAGGCATGAGAGATTTGAAACATCATCATAATATTTTCCAAGTGGGACTGTGTTATGGGTCAGGGCGCGTTGTGACAGCTCAGCACTTCATTCTAATTAATATCTTTTTTCATCACCTTCTCGCTTCTGACTCTTTGCACGCAGTTTGTTCCTACAGCTGTGGCATCTGAGTAAACCACATGTCAGTCAGTTTTGACCAGTATTGAATGGCACTTAAAAAAACAAAAACTCCAAAACAAAAGAAAAAAAGAAAAGAAAACAGAACAAACCTAGACGTAATCTGCACGGCTACCAGCTAAAAATGAGGTCGACTCAGAAAAAGCTGCTCTCTTTAAAGTGCTTTAAACCCCAACTGCAGCTGAAGATGATTATAGCACTTCTCTAGGATTGGTCCAACTACCAAAAAATGCTGCAACAGAATACCCACAATGCATTTCAAAAGGATCTTTCATGAGCATCTCTCGTGCCTCCTAAATAATGACGCCTTTCAGATTCGCACATCTGCAGGTTGTTATGCACACTTTCGCTTTTTGTTTTTGTACAACTCTATGAAGTTATTATTGTCCAGCTCCATATATTTATTATTGTTGGACTCTGTGTTACAGTAGCTTTGCATATAATGGCCCTCACTTCATCCTTAGCTCCTCTCCCGACTTTCTGTTTAAGCAAACTGTCTTCTCATTGGCTGCCCCTCATAAACACGTTTGAATTTCTGGGAGGTGGCACATGTTTGCTCGCTGTTACAGTTGTGTGGTTGAGAAGACCCCTCTCTTTGATATCGGCTCATCTGACAACACACTACTGTGAGTGTGTGTGTCTGTAAGAATAAAACATAGATAAACATCTATTTTAAAACTGGTGCATGGCCTCTTTAACGCTCACGACCGATGATGAACTCTTCGTCATCTGATGTATAATACCGCCACGCCTCCTTGTGTCTTAGTGCTTTTCGAGCCGGGAAACGACGCCACCCCGTGCAGTTACCTTGCGCTCTATGACCTCAGCAGCCAACCTCCGGGCATGACGGTAGCTCAGGTTGCCCGCAGGGACTCGAACCACCTCCCTGAACAGACCCAGCTGGAACTGGACCAGAACCGGTGCTGTGAGACTACTGGGACTCGAGGGAGTCAGTGTAGACATGGAGAGAGAGCCTGCAGGAGGAAAAGTGGATCAAGTTAATGTGGGGTTGAAGGTGTGTTAAAAAAAAACCTGAGAGAAAGCTGAAGAGGTTCATCGTGAAACTCCAAAACAAAGCACTACGCAGGCCCCTGTAAATCTACTCCATCTTAACCTTATAGCTCTTGTTTGAAATAGTTCCTGTTTAACGTTCAGGTGTCTAAAACTGAACACCCCAATTTCTCAATAAGAGATCTTTATCTCACCATCGCCCGAAATAGACGGATATTTCAAGCAGCGAATGCTCTCTTCGACTAAAAAGACTTCTGTTGTAAAAGCTTTGATATAATAGGACATAACTTACTACACAATACTTTGATCAGGATAAACAAAGAGTTATTTTTTAATCAGATCAAGAACAAACTAAAAAGCACCAACCTTACGGTCTAATCTTGGTCTGGTCTTTGTCTTCGACGATCGAAGGACTGCGTCTCAACAGCGCAACAGCTGATCAATCTATCATGGTGCTGCCGAGGCTCATCGTGAGCTGCTGGTTGGTCTGGTTTCCTTTTTGTGGGGCTCGGCTGTCTGAGAGACAGGAAGTAACAAGAGAAGCACTCACCTCTGTGAAGGCTGCAAAAAGCACAGCGTACGGTTAACACCCCACACCCTGGCTGTCAAAACTTAAACACACACGTACTTTGAAATGGTTAAAACAATTCAGTGCGCACATTCGCCTTTGTAGAAGTTTGGAAAACACACAGGAGGCAGATTTGGTTTGAAAAGTGGAATTTGCATTTATTGAACCTTTGATTAAAATACACATTAGGTTGGCCCCGTCATAATAAGATGCATGAAATCATCAGCAACAAAATAAAAACAAAGAAAAATAACAAAAAAAAGAGAGAAGGCCTGCGTACGTACATCGTACATCACCATCAGTGGCTCTGAGTACATGCACTGATCTCCATACACATTTGGACAGACAGCACACAGAAATCAAGATTTCTCTTTTAAGCTTTGGATCAAATTGTTGTTGCTGCAGTGAACACAAATTAATATTTACAGCCGTAGCAGTTTTGTTCTCCCACATGAGAAAATAGTGCATTAGCGGTGACATGTTTAAGGAGTCTGCATCTCCTGAAATCCCAGTTATTACACTGCACCGACCCAGGGTGTAGAAGTGAATGATTAATACCTTACAGTACTGGTAAGTATTGATATGATGGTGTGTACTGGAAAGAAGCACTGATCTTTACTGGATCTTCAGCTACAAACTAGTGTTTCACCATTTGATTTTTAAATATATATGTATATACACATACACACACACATACAGTTAGACAGTGTTGAGATTGTGTGTATGGTTATAGGAATCTTCCATCATTCTTATGAGTGAATAAGTGACAAACAGTAAACACGTATATAAAGGTCATACATGTATAACTCTGTACATTATTTGCTGTGAACAACACTTAAAGCACTTTATGTTTTTCCAGCGTCTTTCCAAAGCTCTTCCACTCACTACTTTTTAACTCCGTCCTGCACTTTCGGTACTCCTCCGTTCATTAAACCTGCACCATCACGCACGTTCTGAAGCAGACAGGATAAACTTAGCGCCACTCAGAGATCGAAGGCTAATTAAAAATTAAAAAGAAAAAAAAGCGTGCCTTCGGTTTCTTTAGCTGCGTGGCGATGGTGTGCATGCACCAACGCTGACAAAACAGCCTCACACGAACCTGTCTTCACCTTTTTAGAACTCACATTCACCTTTTTGTTTACTTTCTCGTCATGAAGGTAAAGTCAAGGAAAAACTTGAGAGTGTAACATCACTTGCTGACCCTAATTTTGCTTTAACATGATAAGAAGTACATTCGGCAGATAGTTCTCCTGATAGTAGCGTCCTGGCTTGCAAACAACAACAATCCACCAGACTCCGCACAATCAACTTTAAAAATCAACATTCAAATAACCAGCTGTTTGTACCGTCGACATAAAAGCTCAGAGCCAAAACAAAAAATCGCTTCAGAACAACAACAAAAAAAGTCAGCGAGGGCGGACCACCATCAGCCAGCTCCCTGCGAGGGTTTGATTACAACTGATGACTGATCCACCCAGGAGAGGCTTGTACAAAAAAAAAAGAAAAAAAGAAAGAAATGTAACATTAAGGACTGATTTGTACAAAATGATGCACATTCAACAACAGTAAATACAGAAAAAAACTACAACAAACTCACAAGAGGAATGACAGTAAACACATCAGCTGATGGGCTGCATCAGCTCTGATCAAATAATTAAGAGGGTTACCCACAGCTTTAAAAGACACTTTCACTTCAATATCCTGCTGTAATGATTGTAAACACATTATTTTTAAACATCGAATTTTCTTTATTATTTAGTCGCATGGAGCTCAGGTAAAAGGTACCAAAACAAACTTTGATTAAACTCCCTGTTGAGGCTTCAGGGACATCGAGGAGTCAATTACTGCCGTTTTAGAGTCAACTCATCGCACATGGACTCCTGTAAAGGACTTTTTTTTCCCAACGGAAATGCTATGAAAGGCAGAATTTTAACATAAAACATGATCTTTTCCTAAACCTGCAGTGCAAAATAGGAAGATCACAAATGGGACATGAAACAGTATGTCCTGGATTACGCACGACCCCTAAAAGCTCTTTTAACGTGACTTTAAATTAAGTCACAAGGAACGCAACGGCATCATTTTAGAGGATGTGAACCCCCAAAAATTAAAACAAACAAACAAAAAAAAAGATTCATTTCTAAATCTTTCCTCAAATGAATTTCCTGGCCCGTTTTCTGTCTTTTGACTCATGAAAAAGTGCAGTTTCTGCCCCCAAACACTGTCACAATCCAATCCAGGGGAAAGGAATAACCATTCCCATCAAAGTATGCTCAGTAGATAGCAAGATTGTTGCTAGAAATACAGTACTGTCACATTTAAAGCACACGATTATAGTGAAACTTTGAAAACTTGGTATCGGATATGAACGGTTGAGGTAATACATTTATCAGCATTTAGTGTCATGGATACAATCAACCAATGCCCATTAACCTTTCACCTTCACATCACTCCATTCTTTTCCTTCATCTCCAGTCTCTGCCCTTCATACAGGTAGTGTTTTACTTCTAAATGAGACCCTCTTTACCAGAAATAAATTGTAAACAAACAAACAAAGAAATAAATCAGTGCACTATACACAGAGAATCAAATACCAAATAATTTAAATCTGTATTTACATAAAAAAAGGCATAAAGTGAGGTTGAAATGGTTAGTGCTAATGATGCTTGTATTCTCTTGTTACACCTCTGCTCTATCTTTCAGGTAGTACCGTTTTTACCATCTGCAATATGCTTCAGGTGGATGGTTAGTGTCTGTGTCTACTTCATGCTACTGGTGAAACTGGACTGGACCTGGATTATAATTAGCCCACCTAAGGTTGAGTTTCTGCACTTAAGAGATGTGGACTGAAGGAACCGACTCGTCATAACGCACGATGCTCTGCTACGGTGCTGTGAGTGGAAAAAACCCCAAAAACCCCCCAGAAAAAACACGAGGCGTTCAGGTGCAGACGTTCCACGAACTAGTAAGCAGCATGCTCGTAAATGTGTATCTAAATATTCTCTTTTCTGATCGATGGCAGCGTTTTATACAGCGAAGCAGCAGCGTCTCAGAGGACGACCTCGAGTGTGGAGCTAATGCTTTCCCTCCTCCCCAGTGTTCTTTAAAAAAATATGCTGCAGGCGCAAAGTGTTTGATCTGGCGTTGAGCTTTAAGTGTGTAGTTGGACCAAACCGAGCTGCAAACAGCCTCTCCTCCTCGGGCCGCTTCTGCCTCCCGGATCCCGCCTCCCGTCTCCGATCTAGCCGAGCAGGGAGCTGCGTCTGGATAGGTCCACGTTGCTGGCGCTTAGCCCCCTGCTGTCTGAGAGTCCAGAGTTGACATCCTGCAGTCAGATCAGGTCGTGTTAGTATTTGGGTTAGAAAACGCTGTGCATATTCTGTCAGGTAACAGACAATCACCTGGACTCGATATTTAATTCAAAAGATAGAATTTAAATCGCAGCTGTGAGGAATAAAGTACCTGTGTGGTTTCCTCGGTGCTCTTATTGAGGAAGTTAAGGGAGCTGGCTCTCTTCATTCTGTACAGAAACACACGATTACCAGTGAACTCAAACCACAAACTTCAGATCAGTAATGAGTTAAAGACAGAAAGTGTTTTTACAAAACTGAGTGATTTGAGTAATATTTAGGAATGGACAAGGCAGGCCACCCATCATGGTTCCTGAGCAATTAAGGCTTCATCGTGGATCTTATTTACAAGGTCATGCAACCTTCATGCTCAATTGTAAATGTTATACTCAACTATATACCCACTGGACGCTTTATTAGGTACGCCTTTATGGTACCAGGTTGGACCCCCTTTCTCTTTCAGAGCTGCCTCAATTCAACAACATCCTGGAAACATGACTCATTACTTCTTCATGTTGACACAACAGCATCACACAGTTGATGCAGATTTCCTGCTTGCACATTCATTATGAGAATCATCCTTGTGCTTCAACGTCCTGTGTGTTCAAAGATGTTCATCTTTTGTTGTAACAAGTGGTTAATTGAGTAACTGTTGCATCCCTATCAGCATTTCTGCCTATTCTCCTCTAACCTCGGACATCAACCACACATTTTCGCCGAGAAAACTGCTGCTCACTGGATATTTTCTCTTTCTCACAGCATTGTCTGTAAACTTTCGAGATATTTGTGTAAGAAAATCTGAGCTCACTTAAATCCCCTTTGTTTCTAGCTCTGATGCTCAGTTGGAACTTCAGCAGGTCCTTTTAACCATGTCTCCATGCCTCAATGCTTTGAGTTGCTGCCAGGTGATTTACTGATATTTTCAGTTAACAAGCAGATGAACAAGTAACGTACCTAATAATTTGGCTCGTGAGCGTATGTTTCAGTTTTGAACAGTGTTATAATTGGTCTGAATTTTTTTGAAGATGTACTTTTAGCTTTGGGAACTGAAGTGCGAATGTAATTTGGACTGGTGAGAAGAAAAACTGAAGTAACCATAACTATAACCTGACTGCACAGCTGCAGTAGTCTTACCCTGGGTTGCGGGGTTCTTGAGGGCCGCTGCCCTGCAGCTTCTTCACCAGCATTTCGCTGCTCCTTCTCAGAGCATCACGAATCTTACCGAAGGAGCCGCTGCGGCGCAGAGACCCGTTACCATCCTGAGGGCGAGATGTGCAACAGTAACACTTTAGAAAAACACCTCCTTTGAGGCACGCTAGAACAGACACACAGACAAGGATTTCTACAGTATTTTATGAAATTATTCACACTGTGGTTACGCTGTAGTCACATCCAGTCAATGTGAACACATACTGCTACTTTATTAGCTTCCAAACTTATGTTACCCCGTTCCACTCAGCTGAGTCGTCGCCCTCGTTCTCCCCTCTCTGTCCACCAGGTCCGTTCGTTCCCTCCCTGCTGTGTCGTCTGTCGCTCCCAGAGCCTCCGTCCTTCAGCAGCTCCACCACCTTACTCTGGTTAATGGCATCAATACCCTGAGACAGGAAAATAAAGACAAGGGTGATGCAAGGGCCTGAAAAAAAAAACCTTTTATACAACAGCAGACGCAGCATGTGTTCTTTACTGTGTGCAAACATTAGTACGACTGATCTTTAAATCACTTTGGCACACAGTTTATGAGCCAATAAATCGTAGCTGGAATGCCTGTTGAACAAATCCGCTCGCTTAACTGAAAAATCCTTGAAAAGAGCCCAGATGACTAATCTAATGGTGGTAATTCAAACGGCCAAACAGCCGTCGTCGAGAGGGTTCCTATTGTACCTGTTTGCGTGACTTGCTGGCGCACTCCTCCAGTGTTTCTGCGGCCTCCAGTTTGCCCTGGCGACGGTACAAAGCTCCCAAGCTTTTGAGGGTTGTGTTCACTGTTGGGCTGTTGAGAAAGAAAGAAATCCAGCTTTTTTTTTTCCCTTTAGATCTTTTAAAAGTAACCTAATCCATCAATCAGGGTTAAACAATCAAGCGTTAGACCTTTCCCAAACTGAACCACAAAGCAAACACTCTCTGCTGCTTTGAGAAGTTTACTGTTACACAGTCTGCAAAGTATCTGTTCCTCAAACAAAAGGGATGGAAATGTGCCGTTTCTACTATAAAACTAGAAGAATGATGAACCGCAGACTGATAAAGTCAGTGGTTTAACTTCTAGTCTTTTGAGGCAAACATAGGTTTGTAATGAGCTAGTTCGCTTTGTTTCTCTTCCTTTTTGGTGATGATAGTTTCCCTGTTCTGTTCCTCTGTGTTACTATTTGTCATCTTTTTAAAAAGACAAAAAGGCGATCAGATCAGAGTAGCCTCCCTTGGTAGACATTCACAGTTATTTAGGTCACATACATGATCAGACAGTTTAGACTTTGACCTGTTTCCAGTGGACCTAAATGTCTGATTTACCTGTCCACCTTGCAGGCCTTGTACCAGCTCCCATACTCTACATATGGGCCTGAGTCCTTGCGTTTGCCCTGAAAGAAAGAGTGACACAGATTAATATTAAAAGAGTCAGAAAGCAGGAGGAGACAAGCACGAAATGCTGGTCCGATAGGCAGCAAGTTAAAACAACAAAAAGACCTTGTCCTTATACCCACTGTATAATGTGTTGCCTGCCTACCTTGCTCTCTTCTCTTTCCTCAGCGTGCATCCAGATTGGTTTATTATCATCTGCAACAGACAGAAATATCACATAATTACTTTTTTTATACAAGAACATCATGTGTGGGCCATCAAACCCACACTGAAGAGCACTTAAGATGCTTTTTATTGTTCTGCACTGTTAAAATCATAGTTAAAAATAACCCAATAATTATGAATGACACTTCAGTCTGCTGGATATCCTCTAATATGGTCTGTAATTTGGTCATTTCAGGCACATTTTCCATGGCTGCCCTTCAAAAGCAGTTGCAGTCAAATAAAAAAAAAGTTGGGTTAAAAGGGAAATAATAGTTATGATTAAGGAGGAACTGTCTAGAGTCCTGAAATATAGCATGGAGTTGGATTTGAGTTTAAAAAGTATTTTAATTGTCCTGAAAAATAACCAAAATCCTGAAATGACCCATTTTTAGTTTGAGGTAATGCCTCTCTGTCTATGTAAACACATTTGATTTCATGTAAACACACAGCTGTCACTCACCAAACCCAGCTAAAGCCCGCTCTCGTGCTGAGCATGTGAGCACATAAGGGTTTGATAGACTTAGCTGGATAGGCGGGAGGAAACCATCAGCATTAAGCTGCTTTGCGAGCTTCAGTGTAAATCCTCTGACTTGCTGAGAACTCAGAGCGATGCGGCCGTCGGGGTGTGACCAAACCACAGCCTGAATCTAAAAAAACAAGGCTAACAGGAAGACTTCTGATGTAAATTGAGCCTGACTCGCAGCCTGCTCCTCTCTGCCCAGTCCTGGCACTTTGAGTAACTCTGTGACCAGCAGGATCTGATACAGTCACTTCAGTGTGACTCAGCTGTTTGCCTGTTGGCTCTACTTACTGTTGACAGAGCCAAACTCCTTCTCGTGCGCCCTGGTCAAAATCTCTTTGTACAGAGCTTCAGCGTCTGCAAATTTCCCCTGCTTCAGGTAGCATGTAGCCTAAAGAGAAACAGGAAGCACCGACAATCCTGATCAGTGAACAGTGTTTCTAGAAATAAATAAAACATCTTAGAAATAGGTGAAATAGTCACAGGAGAACAAAACTATAAAGGTAGTGAAACAGTGAAGAGGCAGAAGACAAATAAGGTTGTTCAAATGATAGACTGTATATAAAAGATGGGCATAGCCAACATTAGATTTTAATTGGTCCCAGTGAGAAGCCCCAAGGTGAACGCTTAGCTGTTGTCCTTTTAACTGACACAGGACGCTCATAAAACAGCAGCTTGTCAATCAAACATAAATTTATATTTTCTTTATCCTCCTTTTTGGCTCTAAAGGGAAAATATAAAAACATTTCTGAATGCGACACGATGTTCAGACTTTAATCCCGTGACTGAGACCAGAAGCTCATCAGGGCAGCGTTTACTACCGTCTTTAATCACATGAACAGCAGGGGAGTTTTCCCAAAAACCTTTACAGAACCAGACACATTTTTACAACCAGAGGAGTCGCCCCCTGCTGGCCATTCTAAACCCTGACGCTACACCCATCTTTACAGTCTGTAGTGCAAATTAAGTTCCCACCAGGTTATTTTTGGTTTTGGCCACATTGGGGTCATCAGCTCCGAGCTTGGATTCGTAGATTTCCAGGGCTCGTCCGTAGTAGTACTCCACCTCGTCGTACTTGCCCTGGTTCTGACACAGTAGGGCCAGGTTGTTCAGCTGCTTAGCCACGTCTGGATGGTACTTCCCCAGCACCTGGTTACAACAGGGAGACAACCACACATTTGCAACACAAACTACAATCACGTGACCACATGGAGACTGTCTGGGTAACTTGTCTGCTTATGTACCCTTTATATCAAAAGGTGATTCAGTTGCTAAAACACAAATATGAACAAAACTGCAATTGTACCTTCTCTCTGATCTCCAGTGCTCTCTTGCAGAGAGGCTCAGCCTCCTTGTATTTGCCCCTCTTGCCATATAATACAGCTAGATTGTTGAGGGTTGCAGCCACAGCTGGGTGGTCCTTCCCCAGTGTCTTCTCCCTGATGGCTAAAGCGTCATTCAGAAGATGAGCGGCTTCTTTGTATTTGTTCTGGTCCCTGGAGCACAAAACACAAAGCACAGACCCATGGCGCTGTGTTCAGAGGCTTTATTTTACAACAATGAATAGTTTATGAAAAGCGTCCACACTCTCAAGCCCCCACCTGTACACCAGAGCCAGGATGTTGAGCATAGTGGCGACGTCTGGATGGTCATGCCCAGATGTCTTCTCCAGGTCCTCCAGGGCTTGCTTGCACAGTGGCACAGCCACCTCGTACCTCCCCTGAGAGGCGTACTGGATCACCAGGTTGTGCAGCGTCCTGAGGCGTGCCGGGATCTCGTAGCCTCCCTGCTGGGCTGCCACCTCTCCACTGGGCTGGGCTGTGACACGAAGCACAGCATGGTCGAGAATAAGCAAAACTACCTACTCGAAGTTTTTAAAGCGTTACATGAAGTTCTCAAATGAATGATTTGTTCAGTATTCCATCAGTTTTGAAAAATGGTAACTAAGTTACTGTCAGATCCAAGCAGAACATATGGTGGATAAAAAACATGAAGTCAGATCTGCTGTAGTGATCAGCACTCCAGCAGGAAATGGAGGAAGCTTCTGTAACAAGATTTTCTTTTCCTTTATATAATTTGATGATAGTCATGTTCTCCAAAAAGTAGATAAAGCCTTTTAAAAGCTATGTGTTGTACTCTCTACCCTCTCTCCTGCTTGTTATGCTCTTGCTGCTGCTGAACGCTTAGCCATTCAGACTATGGCTGAAGGTATATTTCACTGTAAGAGCGAATGAAGGTTCAGCACGTAGCGTGTGGTTAATTTGCAGGAAAGCTAAAGGCGCTGCATACACTGACACAACTGATTTATCTTTGTATGTGCTTTGTTGAAAAGCTGCTAAAAAAAACCTATAGCACAGAAGTTGAACTATTTAAATGACTTGCAGTTTAGACTTCAGGCTACAGGTGCTATATTATTAAGATAAAAAATAAAGCAATGATTAAAAACTGTAAAACTTAAGTAAAATGTCTGCCCACTCTTAACTCACATGTGTATGTATGCCAGATGTTTCCTTGAAGTAGCAAGTGCTGCAGCATGAATAGATCAGACAAGGCGGCTTGTGGTCGGTCATCATTACATGTGCATGGGTGAACGCTGCACAATGACTGAACACCCAGTGAGCTACCAGTTATCTCTTCCTGTGGTGTACCACATTCAGCACTCTCTCTGTTAAACTGGGCCGTGGACACCCTGTACTGTGAACCGATGATTAACCTCATCAAATCGTTATATCATAATTCATTCAAACTGTCTTGGTCACACAGGAGCCAAAAACAAACAATCCCTACATAACATGTGTGCCTCTCAGACTCATTCCTGTATTAAATGATAGATCTCAGCTTTATGTGAGGCTTTGACTGGCTTGAGCACAAATTCATCAGTAAAATCCCAATGTACTCATCTTAAATTGAGTCATCCCATTAAGGCCTCTCTGCTGATGTCATACCTGGTCCCTGGTCATCATCATTAGGGAATAAGTCATCCAGATTATCCTTTGAAGCGTCTCCGCCTGTGCTGCCGCCCGAGCTCTGGTTCTTCTCCTCAGAGGGCGACACGTCGTCGTCGAACTTCTTGATCTGGTTCATGAACTCCAGGTGCTTCTTCTCCTCCTCCAGCTGGGCGACGCTCTGCTCGCTGCGCTGCAGCTTGTGCTGCGTTCCAGCCAACTCGTCCCGCAGCCACTGGTTCTCCTGGCAGAGGCGGCGCACCTGAGCGCGCAGCTTCTGCTTCTCCGACTCCACGGCGCTCAGGTGGCTGGACAGGGCGATGATCACCTGGTGTAAAAGGAAATTGTAGAAATCCTATTAGAATAACCACAAAAATATCTGTTTGTTTGTTTCTTTGTGCACCAACTCTGCCACATGATCAGGAGGTGAACAAACACCTTGGTCCACAGATACACATTAGGACCCTGAAAAACCTTATAAAAGCATCCTATTGTATTAAGTTCACAATAGAGTGTGAACTTCAGTGTACAATTCAGTGGAAACGTCAAAAACCTAAGTGTCTGTCTCTCACCTGTGCCTCTCCCAGACCCAGCTCAATGGCTTCCAGACTCTTGCGCAGCAGCCCCGACTTCTCTTGTGCAACAGGTGGCTGGGTGCAGTCCAGCAGAGAGTTTAGGAGCTGGGCGTGCTCGCCACGCAGCGTCTCCAGACCCTGCATGACGGCCTTAGTGTTAAGGACGATCTCATCCTGGCTCAGTCGCTCCAGGGCTTCTTCACGTGGATACACCATGGTGGACATTGCCAGGTTTCACACACACTGTGAGAAAAGGGAAGTAAAACCTACATTTACTTACATTTTTGATTCACATTCACACCCTCAAAACATTAGGTGTTCAGTGTAACCACATCCTGCCACAGAAGGTGGCAAAGAAACAGAAACGAGCGATGATTAATTTGCGGCGTGAGGACATAATGACACTGCAGATGAGACAAATAGTGGAGTAATATGATATTGTCAAAGGTTTCATTATGACTCAAACCCAGCACTGCCAACAGTTCCTCTATCCACCTGCTCATGAATGAGCAAAACAACACTGGAAACACTTAAGGACATGATGTGGCGCAAACTAAGAAAATGGCAGCAAACAAAAGTAATGAGGAGAACAAAATGAGAAACACTGACAACGCGAATGAAGGGACTGTTCCTGAGATTCATTTACTGTCTGGCATCATCCTGTAAATGATGGAGTTAAAAGAGATGGATGAAAAACAAAAACCACGCAGCACAAGCGTGTCTTGTTATGAACAGAAGGCACGCTGTATAAAAGCTTCCCGACATCAGAGAGAAAGAGAAAAGTTGTCTGTGAGATTGTATACTGGACGTATAATTAAAGTAA